GTTTCAAATTACTTAAATATTTCAAATATCGGGACAAGAATAACGGATACGGAAAGATAACGGTAATTTAGAAAATAAAAATTATTATCTTAACTAAGTCTAATATTATACAGAGAGAATTATGGGTAACATTCAAGAAGACATATTACTTATTCATATGGGTGGGCCAAAATATTTTACTTTGTTGCACGACATGTATAGTGAACGGGTTTGACTCTCTTGACATCTATATTTATGTTATTTTATTCAAAAGTTTTAATGTTTTCTATTGTTTTTATGTGATGTAATAGTTCGCAAATTTAATTGATTTCTAACTTATCATTAATTTGATTCACACTCGATCCGGATTTCTTATCATGTCGGTCCGAATATTGCAAACTTTATGATAAATTTAAATTTTGCAATCATCCCCGCACGTACGTGCGGGTCCATCCCTAGTTCATATTAATAACTAACGCAGATTTTTGAAAAAAAAAAAAACTATAACCCATATTCTATTTTAGTCAGCTAAACTATCTATATTAACATTTTTGAAATACTTTTTGGAAAGTAACATTTTATTTTATAATATTTATATAATTAATAAAATGTTTCTATAATTAAACCCTTATCATTTGAATAAATAACAAAATTTTAAGGTAAATTTTGTAATTAAATCATAATAAAATTGCATTTCATAAATCAACACGATTATAGAAACATAATTATGTTTATGAAATGATGTCCATGATTTTGAATTACGTTATCATATTCAATACAAATTTCAAAGTGTGAAATTCTCATATTTCAGGTTCGGTTATCCTTTTTTGTTGTTAACAACATTTTGTCGGAATATCTGTTAATTGGATCATGCCCAATTGATTTATCTGTTAGTCAGAATTGCAGATAGTTTTCTTATCTTCGAGCTTGGATAGTATTCAAAATTTGGGATTAGGCAGTATAATAATCCAACTAGCTAGATATTGACAACAATTACATATCATAGCACTTCGTTGCGTTTCCCTTTGGTCTGAGCTCCACCATAGTTAACACGTTTAAGGCACTATATATATTACTGATGTATATCAGTATATGGGAACTGTTTCTGATAAGTAAGCACAACATTTGTTTTGAAGCTATTCATATTTTGTAATTAAAAACTACTTTTCACATTAGTGTTATCTCGTCTGCATGGACAGTTTCATAAATGGACTTGTTGGTCTTCAGTCCTATCCTTATTAAAAAGAAGACCCCATATTTGACATAATTGTCCCAAATAAATTCACTTTCCAAACCACCACAAGTTTGGTAACATTATTAACTTACGATTATTGTTTAAGACTAATTTAGAAATATGGTCACTTCAAATTCATGGTCATGTTGTTTGAGCTCACAAATGCTTGAACCTCGTTCGTGATGTTTATATATATGGAGTTTGAATTATGTGTTTCAGAAAATGTAAAGACGATCATATGGTATGATAGATGTTCATTACCGATCGATCGATGATATCGAGATGTTCAATGGTATGACTTTGAATACATTTGTGTCACCAGTCACGTGTAACAAGGACCGTTCCATAAATGGACTTGATTGTCGTCTCGTCAGTTTCTGCACTTGATTACTTAACCCACATGACTAGATTGTTGTCAAATCTTTATTGGTCCGATTGTACAATTCAAGTTTGAAATATTTTCCGACTAATATTAGTTTTATAACCTAAAGGCCAAATGTTATAGTGGTTTCGTTAAAGGATTTGCAGCATATTAGACTATCAAACACCAATATCTTTCATTCACATTACTGAAAACAAATTAAAAATCAGACAATTGAAATCAAACAATACCTAAATTTGTTAAAGGTAATGACAATGCTGTAAGTACTCAATTGTTATTACATACTATTACAACAAAATTAGTCATTAATTTTTTCAAAATTTATGTTATAATAACGTCAACATAAATATTTCATCTTTAGAAAATATATAAACCGGATACAAGATACTAAAAAATGTGCTACCTCTTACATTTTCACTCCAATGTTCTCTAGCGATATATTGAGTAAAACAAAATCTATGTCACTATGTGACTATCTCAAAAAATGGGAAATAAAGAATCCTTCAAGCTAATCCACTATCAAACGAAGAAGTCCTTACAACTATCCTCTTTCTTGCTTTGGCAGCCTGCAATGTCAAAACGACGGCAGCAAGTAACTTCAGGACAGGAGACAAAAAAAGATTCATCAAGTGTCAAAAAAGAAGAAGTAAAGAGGTAGCAACTGAGTACTGACCTGCTCATTCCAGCTCATGCAAGCAGTGACTATAGCTAGTATGATTCCTTGCGCCGTAGAGCCAACAACCACACCAATCCATAGTCCTTTACCGTTCATGTGACACCAAAATCCTAATAAAATTCCAACCGGACCTCCTAAGAGATAGTAAGCCACCACATTTGCCCAAGCTCCTATATGTTGCCACCCACTTCCCCTAGCAACCCCTAAAAACCAAAGCATGTAAAACATATTTTGAGTCTAATATGATAGATGAAGTTTTTGAATTTTTTATTACCACCAAGTACTGCCGAGAATCCATCGACCATAAATGAGAGACAAAGCAAAGGAGATAGCTCAGTGACATAGTCCACAACTTCTTTACTGTTGCTGAAGGCGTAACCAAAGATGTTCCTACAAGTGAAGAGGAGTGTACTACAAATGGTAGCCTCTAGGAACCAAAGGAAAATACCGGCAAATACTGCCAGTCTAGCAACCTCAGGATTCCCCGCTCCTAACTCGTTTGAAATCCGTGTGCTGCCAAAGTAAACATTGTGACTAATCTATCTAAACATTCCGAAACAAAACATCGAATCGGTTTTATCGATATCATCATACCTTCCAGCAGCCCCAATACCCATTGGAATGACATAGTGGAGAGATCCTGTTGTGAGACTGTTATTGACACAACAACAACCAAGAAGATTACACTAAAATATATAATGAAATGAAGAGTAAATATTGGTTTATATGAATTCGACAAAATGAAATTTAAACTTAACCAATATATACTCATTAGACCTATGTATTTAGGACACAAGTCTTCCTCATACTAGATCTGTAAAAAAGGGGAAACAGAGTTTTCTAGAGAGAATCATAGATTACCAAATCGAAAGAACCGAGGTCTCGAGTTTCGGGTTAGGGAGGAGTCCTGAGGACAATACAAGGAACTCAAACAAGGACCATTCTATGCTGTACATAGAAAAAAAAAAGATCAAACAATCAAAAATCAAAATCAAGAGAGAAGAAAGAAGAGAATCCACCAATGATGAAGAAGATAAAATGTTATTTACCAAGCCATTGCTGCTGATGGTATCCCATATTGAAAAAACTGCTTGGCGCTGGACACAAAATCATCAGACACAAAGCCACGAGTCTCCACACAAGAGCTTGAAAATCTCACATACAAAGCAAGAATCAACACATTGAACCAGTAAGACAAACTAATAGCCAAGGCAGCTCCATTGCTTCCAAGACCAAACTTGTAGACCAGAACCAAACAAACAGGTATATGGAACAAAAGCGTGGTTACGGCACAGTAGAGAAGAGGAAGAACCAAACCCTGAGTCTGAAGAAACCTAGTCAAAGGTTGTTGCACCGCTTGAGAGAACAAAGCAGGTATAAGACAAACCGCATAAGAACCAGCTACCCTAGAGATGTCAGGATCTTGTCCGATCGAAACCAAAAGCTTGTCCATGTAAAACCAGAGAATCGATATGAGTAGACAAAAGGGTACGTTCGAGACTATTGCAGAGTAAGTATAAGTCCCGAGTTTAGTGTATTGCTTAGCTCCATAAGCTTGACCACATAGAGTTTCAAGTGCACCCACTAAACCATACTGCAAAAAAAAGAAGTTTCAAGACTTTGAGATTAGATCGGATCTTGAAACTGGTCAAAACAGAGTAAGCTAGATAAATAGTTACCATGATGCTAAAGCCGGAGACGTTTGTGAAAGCAGTAGCAAGAGCGACACCAGAGAGCTGGAGTTCGCCACGGTGGCCGGCGACCATGACTGAGATAACAGGCAAAAGATACTGAGCAACGGTCACGGTGGACATAGGCGCCGCCATGAGGCTGACGTTCTTTAACTCCGCCGTGAAACTCTTTCTCCATGTCGGCGTCGACGGCTTAAGACTTCCGGTGTTGGTTACTTGATCGTCTCCTAGTAAAAGTGGATCTTCCATGATCTTCTTGAAGAATCTTTAGTTCTTGTCGTCGACCGTGTCTTTACCTAGGAACTTGTGAGATGAGAGTGCACGAGTTCAGAGAACACAGACATCTTTATATGAATTAAAAACAGAACACAATAAACGAGTGGAGTTAAGTATTTTGTTGGAAGAAAAAGTCAACGCTATGTGAATACATGATTAAGGGGAGGTGTTCTTGGCTTTAATAGTTTAATTAATTTGGTGGGGATTTTAGTAGGTGAATGAATTATAAAGATCTATAAATGAAAAAAAATATTATAAAACAATAACATTCGGCAGACTGTTTTGCTCGTTCTTCTACGTCACTTGATTTGTAAGTTTTTTTTTTAAACGATTGGAACAATATTTTAATAAATGTTTGGTTGAAAAAAATAAAAAAAAAATAACATTCTACTATTGGTGATTTGGTTTAATTTTAAGAGGATTTTGGAGTAATTAGTTGTGATAAAGTAGTATCCTAGTAAGATTTAAAAAATATGAAATGGTCTATAGGTAACATTTTGACTAAATAATTAATTCAAGAGTATATGTTTGACTTTGATTCATGATTTTTATTTTTGGTAGTCATTTATCCAACATTTCCACAAATAAAGATCATGACAACTAGCAGAAGAGAGCAAGAGAGACTAATGCCACACTCACACATATACATATGATATTATGATTCATCATAGATTTGTGCCAAGAATATGTATATCATAGCTAATAAATCAATCCATCTTCTTTGGTTTAAAATAGTGTGGTAAACTAATGTAACATGTACCAATAAACCTTCTTGATGCTTTTCATTATGATGATATTGATTAGTACTTGTCTTCTTTTCTTGTCTTTTGGCTTTTGCTTTTCATTCCTAATTTAAGTTTAACTAATAGATTGATAAACTAATGAATACTCCAAATATTCTAATTAAAAACAAGGAAAATTATTGAAATAAAAATTAAGAATATTTGAACTACTTGAAAACAAAATTTTCGATCAAAACATAATTACCACTGTTAGGAAAAAAAATTAATTTCTAATAAACCAAAGAAAAATGGTAAAATTTGAAATTAATTATTAGATTTTGTAGTAAATTTATAGGCAAGTAAATGAGAAAACTTGATAAATACCCCTTTTGGTGTACCCCTTTTCAAAAATGTTCATTTCATCTTTCCCTTTTTAAAAATACCCTTTTTAAATCTGAAAATATAAAGTTTTATATGGTTTATAAGGTACTTTTAGATAATAACTACTATTGTAAAACTCGATCCAAATATTTATAAAATTTTAAAAGGTTTTAAAATGTTTTTATAAGGTTTTTAAAAGGCTTACAAGATCTTTAGAAGTTTTTAAATGACTGTTAAAAGGTTTTTTTTTTGTAAGTATTTATAAAATATGTATATAATTTTACGTTACATATAAATGTAATTTACGTATATTTTATAAACTTACGGACGTATTTAGATAAATTTCAAAAGGTTAGCGGTTTTTTAAATAAAATTTAGAAGATGGAGTATTTTTAAAAAGTGATATTGAAAAGAATTCTCCCAAGTAAATTCGTCTCTAACCTTAGATTTTCATGATCCAATTTGTTAGAACATTTGGTTTATGAACATTTGGGGTCGAGCTATAATGTAGAAACGTTCATTTATTTGGTTTCATCTTATTGGTCAACCATACTTTTCGACAATGAACTTTCTTCTGACCAAAAGCTTAACTGGTTCACGTTCATGTTTAAATTTAGCTAAATCCATAAATAGATTATTTACTAATCAAAAATTTAACATATAAATATCCCACATTCATGGCTTTATTACTCAAAAAAATTAACTTAGATTTAAAAAAAAAAGAAAAAAATGAATCAACTCATAGTTTTTGCTTTAGTTATTGCGTTACATGTTTCGTTAAATGAAGCATGCAACAAAGTAAACATCGTAGAGATTCATAACAACCTCGCTCCCGGTAGAGTTCTCATGCATCATTGTACTGGTAGTATCAACGAGCAAGACAAAGGTGTTCAATATTTAAAGTTCAACGAAGTTTTTCGCATTGAGTTTTCGGATGTTTCCAACAGACGTGAAAGGACAGAGTGGAATTGCTTATTGAGGCATGGAGATAAATTGGAGTATCAATTTAAAGTTCAAGTATACAGAGCTGCTGCTCTTGAACGATGTGATCAGTACCGTTCATGGACAGCCAAAAACGATGGGATTTGGTTTAGAAGAGATCGTACTAAACCATCAGGGCATGTATTAAACTGGAAAAAGACTTGATAAGTTTTGTGTTTTTTATATATATATATTTATTTCGCATCTTATAAATCTATGCGTAAAATAAGAGTCACAACATTTGATGTTTGGATATATATAGCAAAGTATTGTAATAAAACATGTGTTTAGTGATATATTGTATTTGTATCAATGTTTTAAATAATAACACATTATCTTAATTGATTGTTCGAGTAATTAATTACTCGATAGACTTAATTGAAAGGTAGTATATGCGAGGTCGATCCACCTGGAATAAAAAACATATGCTCTATCACATTTATATTTGATTCAATTAAATTTAAGAACATAGATTAGGAGTGAAGTGACCTTAATCTAGTGGCAAATGATAATTTCACTGATGGACAGACACCATCACACCAGAGATCGAGTCCTGCTCCCTATATATTTGTAGGGATTAGGCAAATGTACCAGCCAGTTGTGGCTCAATAATGACAGAAAAAAAAAACCTAGATTAAGATAGTTTCATGTATCCAAAATTCTAAAGATGGATAAGGTCTTGTAAAAAAAATGTTATTATATAATTTAATCCAAGAAATTAACATATGGTTGATCTGTGCCATTATTAAATCTTATGATCAGCACAACATTACACAATTGAAGAATGATAAACCAAACCACTACGCCATTCCTTTGTAAGCCTTAAATTCAAACACAAGCAACTAGGTTTCTTAAAACACATATATATCATCATTGGCACTACTACATATCTAGTTAGTCCCTTTTATGGATATAGATACTTGGATTTTAGAAAAATTCAGAGCTTTACTACAATGGGACTTCTCACACGGTGCTTCTTGTCTGACCAAACCAATTCTCCAAACACATAGTCCTTAGCCACATTCCCTTTAACCTTCACAAGTGTCACTTTAAACGTCTTTTGCTCTCCAACTTTGGTAAAGTTCAAGCTCGTGGGCTTCACCGCGACATAAACACCTTGTGGGTTAGTCACCCGGACGGTATAAGTAGAAGGTCGTCCAACGTTTTTTACTGTCCTTGAGATGGTGATTTTGCTTGATGTTAAGTTTGGAACTGTGATGGAAGGATAGTTAAGGTTGACAAGACTGGTTTTGGGGCTTGAACAAGTAAAGTTGTTTCCCGAGAAGACCGCGATTTGTGATGCATTGTATCCTAGGGAGCATAAGAAGTTGAGGTAATCTTTGACGCCTGAATCATATACCAAACCGGGGTTCACGGCTAGATTTGGTTGGACGTGTCCTGCTCCAAAACTGAAAGGTGTTGCCTTCATGTTGGTTGCATTTTGGATAGGTCCAGGGATGTCATCCATTGTTGTTGCTGCAAGGGAAATAACAAAACACAAGGTATGATAAAATCCATTTCCAACAAAACCAAGAAAACAGAACATGGCCTTGGAAGAAACAAGATTTGGTTACAAGTCAATGGTGTTATATATATTCCACAATAGTAGAAGTTAATGTGTTTTAAGTGTTAAAGTATTAGACTTTAATCTTTTTCAGCAATGTGTTAGCTCAAGAATCGAATACATTCTTACCGGTAGTCATGATGGCAGAGCGGATAGCTGCGGGGCTCCAAGACGGATAACGGGTTTTGAGAAGTCCAGCAATGCCAGAGACATGAGGACAAGACATGGAGGTTCCTGAAACAGCATTGTACAAAAGTCTTCGCGGATCAAACTGTTCGTTTGTTGGAGAGACCGCACCAGTGTAAGCAGCGATCACACTCACACCAGGAGCAGTTATGTCAGGCTTTAGAATCTCAGGAGCCACAGTGCTTGGACCTTTAGAAGAAAAAGAAGCCATCACAGGTGCTGGTTTTAATCCTAAATCTGTCCTCGAAGGAGTAATGTGCGCTATCGGGTTCCTACATCGACAAATAAAGCTTTCTTTTAGAACTTGAAACAAGTTAAGTTTTAGTTAAAAGTGACTATAGAATCCTACTTGGTTTGGCTAATGTATCTTGACACAGCAAGACTGTCCGTAGAAGTGAGCTGTGTGGCTGGAAGGACATGCGGATCAGCGATTAGATCATTCCCGGTAACATTAGTGTTTTCAAGAACCATCCCTACACCACCGGCTAAAGCCACAGCTCGACCCTTTTCTACCCTCCCGTTCTGTCCTCTAAGACACACCAATATCTTCCCCTTGGCCTTTTTAGGGTCAAGCGATCCAATTTTGCATAATTGTCTACACCAACAGAGATATACAAAGTTAAAACTCTTATCACTTAAAAAAAAAGAACATAAACCAAATAAGTAACAAGATTAGCCAAACTCACGCATCCAAGGCTGAAGCATTCTTAGCTTTTGCTCTTATAGATGACATTATTGGATAGAACTTAGCATGTGGCAACACTGTGGATGACAAACTTTGTCCCTATGAATACATAAGATTCAAACCTCAATATCAAGATTTGAGAATTTTGATATGATTCGATATTTTTTTTGGACTTTTAATCATAAGTCTAACCTTATAATGCTTTCCATTACCAAGCACAAGGTTGCTAGCAAAAACACGGTCCATGGTACTAGCACCAACGGTGATCTGCCACGGCGCGACGTTCGAAACCGAACCATCGACCGGACCAGAGTTTCCGGCCGAGCAAACAACAACAATCCGCTTCTTAGCTGCATGAAACGAACCAATAGCTACACTGTCGTTAAAAAACGATGTAGCCTCGCCGCCTAAGGAAACAGAGATGACGTCAGCTCCGTCGTGTATGGCGGCGTCGAAAGCTGCGAGGACGTCAGCGTCGTAGCACTCGTTGCCTTTGACCGGTGGCCAACAGACTTTGTAAGCGGCGACTCTAGCACGTGGTGAGCCACCTTTGGCTGTGCCGTTGCCTTGGCTGAAAACGCTGACTCCGGGGACGAAAGCTCCGGCGGCGGTGGAGAGAGTGTGGGAGCCGTGACCGTCGAGATCACGTGGAGACTCGAAGGTTGAGTTGAGAGGTCCAACGGCAGCTGCGTAGCCTTTGTGGAAGTATCTTGCTCCTATCAGTTTCCTTCATTCACATTTGTTATGTATTAGCTTAATTAACATTTAAGTGTTATATTACTTTACAATTATACAAGTTTTACTTTAAAAATGTTTTAATGCTTTTTTTACTATAGCAAAGTATATTTTAATTTTTTACAGGTTTTTATAAAATAAATAATAAAAAATAAAAGTAATATATTACAGAGTATCAATTTAGTTTTTTTTTTCCATGTAATTTAAAGGGAATCATATATGAATATTTTTGTTTCTTTTTTCTTTTTGGGATTCCATTTCTATCTTTCACCAAGAAAAACAGATAAAAAAGAAAAGTTCAGAATCAAATGTCTAAGATAAGTAAAGATTCTACAAAAGTGTTCGATACTTTTAACAACAACAAAAAATAAAATAATATATATGGTCGATAACTATATCCTAAGTGTTAAGTAAGAAATTGATGGGAAAAAATAGTGTTATTTATTTAATTTACATGTTATTTTATTTTAATTATATTTCTTAAAAAAAATGTTCTTCAATATTAAAAATTGGTATCTAGAAATATATATATTTTTTTCTTATTTAAAGGTAATAATATATAGTCTTATCACTCAAGGTTGCCCATCAAGAGATGATTTATCGAAAGTTCCAAAAAATGAGTTCTATTTTTGATGACTTCTTTATAACTACAAGTCTACAACACGTGTCTTCTTATTGTTTAATGAGAATTGTGAATTCTTCGATTTGTCCCATTACTTAATTCAACCACTAGGTGTAGTCAAACTCCTAAAAGTTGTGAACAGATAATTCCAGAATTTGTTTAGTATCTTATGATAATGATAATTCTACTTAACGTGAAAATGATTGAACAACCAATTTGAAAGAACAAAAAGAGAAAAAGAGAGAAAGGAACCTATTGCAATGGAAAGTGGCATCTTTTTGGTTTTGACATATTCCTTTCCATCTTGAAGGTATTGGTCCCAAGCCTTCATCTCTAAAGCTCTTTGATTCTGGCCACACACCTTTTATACACACAACACAATTGATTCTTATTAATACATAGACAATTAGTGTGGGATTAAGTTATCAAAAATGTATTATGGTGTCTCATACTAATCACACAACCAATCATTTGGTTATGTGGCAACTTTGATTGCTTTTATGAATCAATATGAAAATGTTCTAGTTCTCATGCATATCCCAACTTTTGAAGTCCAAAGCATTTTGTATTCTTTAAACACTTTTGAAAGTACAGATTCGGTAAGAGAAAATACGTTTCTCGAACTAGAAACTCCAATTATTAACCTAATAATAGAAAGTGTTTCTTTACTAAACACACTTGAAAAATCATCTAGCTAAAAGCCTAAAACCGAATTAATGATTATGAAAAGCTAAATTACAAAATCTTTAATTAGATCACATGCGCTAGCTAAGTTGAATAGTTGGTTCATCATCTACAAAAATGGTAATTTAGATTATTGTAACTTTTTTACTTCTTTGATCGATTAGGAAATTATGGAAACACTTAGGTCCATAGTCTTTTTCGTCCAGGACCATGTGATTTATACATTTCTTTCAAACAAGGTTCAAATTAGAGTAGATAGATAGAGCAATCTCCTTCATTAATTGATGCTAAGACCACTAGACTACCCACTTGTTACATAACTTTTTTTGATATTTTGAAAAAACTCAAGTCATTAGTCATAACTACTATATTTAGATTGCGTTAACTTTATGTTAAAAGACAATTGCCTCGTGCCAAAACACATTACTTGTACGATGAGTTCTTCACTAACTTTTCTACTCCCTAAATTTGTATAGATGGAAAGGTTTCTATTTATATATCTGATATTTTGTTAATTCATTTGCATAGCTTATTGTGAATAATAATAAGTCAAACTATACGATACATTCAACATATATAATATTAAAGATGATAGAGATGCATAAGCCTAGTTGAAGAGAAGAGAATATGAATATTAATGAATATGCATATGCGCACATGCGTGCATATATATATATGGCTGATTTGATTCTTGCTGACATCTAGAGATCATTAACTACTACTAATACTAGCTTAATCAAATTCACAAACGAATATATATTTCTTGTAATGCAAGTTTG